TAGGGCCAAAAATTATCAAAAACATATAATTCCTTCTTAGTAGTTATTTAATTAATTTGAGCTTCATTAAGGGTTTTACTTGCATAATATATAGCCTTAAACATTTTATCGTGCATTTGTCCTAAAAATGACCCAATAGCATAGACACTAGCATCAAACATTAGTTCAAATGTTCTCCCCCAATCATGTGAGACTATGATAGGAGCATTGACTAATTTCTCTTCCAGAATATTCAAGGCATTTAAGCATTCATGATCAAAATTAAATAGGACATCATTTTCTAAAAGATGGCATGAGGTTTGGCAATTTTGGGAAAGTCTTTTATATATCGCTTATAGAATCCAGCATGTCTCAAAAAACTTCCAACTCCCCTCACAGTAGTAGAAGGGGGTAGTTTTCAATGACTTGAATTTTTGTTGGGTCTATTGTCATGCCTTTTGCAGATACTTTATTCCTAATTTGATTTCTCGTGAAACTATAAATTAACACTTCTCCCAATTGAGAACCAAGTTAGTTTCTTCGCAGTGTTCCAACATCTTCACTAAATGATCTAAAAAAGAATCAAATGATGGTCCAAACACTGAAAAGTTATTCATAAACACTTCAATTCCTTTCTCAATCAAGTCACAAAAGATAGACACAACTGAAATGTAGCAGGTGCATTTCACAACCCAAAAGGTATCCTTCAAAAAGCAAAAGTATCATAAGGACTTATTATTGTTTTTTTTTCTTGATCCTCGGGAACAATAGGCATTTGGTGATACCTAGAATATCCATCTAAAAAGCAAAAATATGGATGGTTAATATATCTTGTAGCATGCACAATTTTCTTTACATTTAACACTTGCTATTAATGAAATTGTACTTTACAGAAAGGTATTTTTTTATTTTTATTGCAAGTATAACATGCAAGATGATTAAAGAAAAAATGGATTGAAACAAAGGCAAAATAAAGCACTTGGGGAAAAAGGTGCTTTCAGCACACTGACGCTTAAGCGCCAAGCTTAGGCACTAAGGCGCTCTACCATGAGCCCTTGGCACCAGTCCAGTGGTGCCTAAATGCTAGTTATATCCAGCAAACAGAGACAATGGGCCCTTGGCTCCAGTCCAGCAGTGCCTTGGCACCAGTCATTATCCATGCAAACAGAGAGTGGCGTGCTGGCTCCAGTCTAGAGGCGCCTAGGCGCCAGTCCAGCGGCGCCTAGGTGCCAAAACAGTTTGAGGTAGTTTATACAATTGATTATGCATGAATTTAGGAGTTAAGAAGCCTAGGAAGTAGTTCAAATGAGAGAAAGATCAGAGTGGAAGGTGAAAAAAATGATAGTTTAGATCTAGGGTTTATATTTTTGCTACATTTTCTTAGAGAGATTTGAGAGAATTTTGTAAAGGAATATTGTTATTAGTGCAAGGAACATTTGGAGATCACTTGGGGAGGAGCTTTCGCTACTTTTTAAGGGAGAAAGTTTAGTGTTTCATTTAACATTGTCTTGTATTAGTTGTAAACTCATTTTCTCTTTATTATAAGATGATGAATTGTAGTGTTTTCATAATGCGCTGTGAGTAGATCTTTTATACCCTTCTCTTGTGATGAATTAGTAGTTAGTGTAGGATATTTGGTTATATTTAGAATAGGTTTTTTATCATTAAAGTGATGGTTTTACTTTGTTCTTAATTTACTTATCATTCTGGCCAAGCTATATGTTAAAATTTGTTGTGAATCCATAATGACTCGAGTTAGTTATGACATAAACAACTAGGAGAAACCACATTGCAATAATATATGAAGTAAAAGTAGTCCCTAGGGCAATATAAATAGATAGGGAATTAGGCTTTGATGGTTTAAAATTTGGGTTTCTGGGGTGACAAGCAGAAACACTAATCGAGTTTGAACCAAACTTCTTTATGCACTCAAAAGATGGTAATGAAGAGGTTTTCTCCTATTTTTCACTTGCTAAAATCTCTATTCTAAGTGTATCACTCCTACACATTTACTTATGTCATTGCAAGAGAAGGGTAGTAGCATTTAAATTTTATTCTTTCTTAATTTAATTAGCTTTAGTGGAATTAAATTAGAAGTAATTTGATAGAATTAGTGATAGTTTAATAGAATTAACAATCATAACTTAGATCAACTATATTTCCAGGTTAAGACTCATTTTAGTAGGCTAGAAATTTTCTTAGGAGTAAATCACAGCCTTCCCCGTGTGATTGATAATCCAGACTCAATAATTCAATATTACTTGAACGGTACATATACTTGCGTGGCAATCCTTATGTGTGTTGCTTCATCATTGTTAAACTCGAGTTCTAAAATTTATATACCTATTTAAGATTTCAAATATTTTATCTATAGCCTCTAGGTTAGACCAGATGTTGATCAAGTTTTTGGCGTCGTTTTTCAGGAAGTGCGACGGTGTATTTGACTTAGGAAACTTTTAGTTGAATTAATTACTTAGATTTGGAAAAACATATTGTAATTTTTTTTGTGTAAGTGTTTGTTTGTTTGATTAAAAAAAGAAGAAAAAAATTTTAAAAAATAAAACAACAACAAAATTAGTATATTTGAGTCTTTGTTTAGTGTGTTTTAGTGATATTTACTCATTGAACCTTTAGTTGTGTATGCGTAGTGTAGGATCTTCAGGACTTGCACCCTACGATTCAGAGCTAGAGAGAATAATTAGAAGGATTAGAAAATAGAAAGGACTTTACTAATTCTTAGAAGAAATGGTGAATATTCAACAGAACAATTTAGATAATGAACATCATAACGTGGATAGGCCATTAAAGGAGTACACTAATCTATGACAGCTGAAATTCACTTAAGTATTGAAACTCCTACTGTATAAGCTAACACATTTGAATTAAAACATGTTATTATCCAAATGGTACAGAAAAACCTATAAAGATGATAATGGTTGATCCTTTAAATTTGGCTACAAACAATTTTCAATGGTCTTATGAAAGGATAAATCCTATAAAGATAACTAGTGTTCATGATATAGATGTGTTTTCAATTCTTAATTCTCAAGCAGCATTTATATCTAGGAAGTTAGATAAATTTGGAATAAACTAACCTAAAAAATCTCACGTAATTGAGGGAAATTTGAAAGGACAAATGGTTGATTCTAACACTTCATCATTTGAGACTTTAAATGCAATTAACAACAGACCTAACAACCCTTATAACCCTTATTAACAACCCTTATTCTAACTTCTATAACTCAGGTTGAAAGAACCATCCTAAGTTTAACTGAAATAATAATTTTGGTGGGAGAAACCAACAATAAGAAAATAATCATCCAAATCCTTTAGGAAATTGGAATAACCAGGGTAATACCAACTATTGACATTCTTATCCACCGGGCTTTAACAACAATCCACAATTTAAAGAGAAGAAGTTGTCTCTGGAAGAGGTTGCATTACAAATGGGAAATCAACAGCAAAGTCAAGGTGCTGCAATAAGGAATATAGAGAATCAATTGGAACAAATTCCTAACTCACTTAGCAATCGACCTCAAGGAACTCTTTCTAACAGCACTGAGATAAACCCTAAGGAGAAGAATAGTGAGCAAATTAAAGTTGTACAACTAAGAAGTGAAAGAGAGATGGAGGATGTAGTTCTAAAGGAGACTGAGGTTGAAAAAGAAACTGTGAAAACTGAAAAATCTAAAGAACATGTTTCTAAGGTTTGAAAAAAAATCTATCCTACGAATATTAATTTAAAAAAAAACACACCCTCCATTTAATCAAAGACTTTAAAAACAGAAGTTGGATCAACAAATTTCAAACTTTTTAGAAATATTTAAGAAGTTAACTATTTAAATTTTTTTTGCTGAAGCTCAGGAACAAATGCCCAGTTATGTAAAGTTTATGAAGGAAATCCTTAATAAGAAGAGGAACTTTGGAGATTATGAGACAGTTGCACTTAGTAAGAAGTGTAGCGCTATAATTCATAAAAAACTTCCTCAAATACTTAAAGATCTTAGGAGTTTTGTTTTTCCTCGCACAATAGTAGAAATTTTTTTTGAAAAAGTTTTATGTGATCTTGGAGCAAACATCAACCTTATGGCTTTATCTTTTTTCAAAAGGTTAGGTTTAGGAGAAATTTCTCCAACTACTGTAACCCTTCAGTGAGTTGATCGATCGATCACTTATCCAAAGAGGGTTATAGAAGATGTATTAGTTAAAGTGGACAAATTTATATTTTCTATTGACTTCATTGTGTTAAATATGGGGGAAGATAAAACAATTTTATTCTTTTAGGGAGATCTTTCCTAGCTACCGGACGAGCTACGATAGATGTGTAAAAAAGGGAATTAACCATAAGAATAAATGAACAAGAAGAGAAACCCTTTCAAAACGCTATAGAGTGGCTGTAATAATGTCATTCAAACTAATCATGTCTTGTTGGTTGAATGATAGTAGAGGACATGGGTCTAAAGTTTTTCTTGTTTTTTTTTCACAACTTTGTTTTTTTATTTTTATTTTTTTTATTTTTTTTTTATTTATTTATTTTTTTTTTGTGATAGCAATTTGCTTCTTATGTCCCTCATTTATTTATTTTTTTGTGATAGCAATTTGCTTCTTATGTCCCTCCTTTACAATAGTTTGATGAAGAAGAAGGTAGATGTTTATACAAGCATTGAGAAGTTTATGATCGTGGTGTTTATGTGGCTCACTAGAGACAATTGCAATAGATATCAAATAAAAGAGGGTGTAGTATACATGGTGAGCCAGAAAGAGATCTTGAAAGTATAGTGGGTTTATTTTTTCTTATAGATTTATCTATCTCACACATAAAGTTTCATTTTTACACGCATAGTACTTTTCCTATAGATTAATATGAATTTGACTATTAAAATATGATAATGAGTGTTACGTTTTATGATGTGATTTATGATTTGAGATAAATAAACATGAAAGTTTTAAGTGATACGTACGTCAAAGCCCCTTATATTAAAAGGTCTCGTGTCCAGACATAAATTTTGCGGCCCTTTAATTGAAAGAAGGTGTCAAAGGTGATGAATTTAAATCTACATATATTTTGCTGCTGATGAAAAATAAAATCGTTGACGCTTATCCGTTTTCCTTTCCGACGGCAGTTTAAGCAAGCTTTAAGCTCTGGTTTCTGAATTCAGATCGTTTTTCCAAAACCATCAAATCTTTTGTGAAAACGAAGGAGTTAGATCGATAAAATAGATCGAGAAAAGGTCCACAAGAAATTGAGATCGCTTACGCGTTGGGGAGATGTCGGTTGCTGCGACTGCAACTAGGGTTAAGGTGGACGCAAGCGGGAAGAAGACGGAGATCTCGACTTCAAAGCTAAAGTCAGTAACTTCGGCTTCCAAGCTAGAGGTATGTCTTTTCCGGCGAATCCTTCAGTAATTTCGTTTGTTCTTTCTTCCTTGTCATTTCTGTTACTGGCTACTTGGTGCCCTGGTGTAATAACAGCTTCTAGGCATTTGCCCCCGACTAAATTTAGGCGCTGATGTGTTGTTTCGTGTTGTATCGCTGTGTTTTTATTTTTAGCTTTTAGATTTTATTTATTGTTTTATTGGTTTCGGGATGGATTTGGGGCTATTAATTTCCTGCTTGTATTTGCAGTTATTTTTACATTATTTTATGCTCTAGTTTCTGTTTTTAAGGGCTTTTTGGCTCATTATTATTGGGAATACAATTGTATCAAGATGTCTGCACTATCAGATGCTATGATTGGTCTAGTGTTATTATGTTTGGATATGTATACGTTTTCATGTATTGAATTTATTTTATTGATTATTGTCTCGAGACTTGTGAAATTAAGATAACTCTTTATGATTTATCTATTTGTAAATTTATTTTCTTTTCCACTGTTGGAATCGAACTCAGACCAGAGGGGACTCACAACGGACAAACAGATGTTCGACCAACTAATATAAATACTCATCGTTATATATATATATATATATATATATATA